ACCGCGCTGCCATAGGGAACACTGCGCTGCCGTGGGTGTTCGCACTTCCACTCTCGGGATCGGCCGGGGGTGGCACGGACAGTCCGGGCACGGGAGGTGGGAGCAGGGGCTGTGTGGCCAAGCCGGGACTGCAGGGTGGATGGAGCGCAGCTGCCTCCCCTCCGCAGCGGCGGCTGCGAATCCACGGCCCCGAGCTCCCCTGGAAGTTGCTGTGCGGGATCAGTATCCAGCTGTGCTGCTGCCTGCTGGTAAAGCAGCTACTGCAGGAAACTTCTACAGCTTATGTGAAGCAAGGAGGAAAAACGCACAAGAAAACATGAGGAAAAATTTAGCTTATATAATCCTCTGCTTTAATAACAAATACAGCGTCACACTGAAGCCTGTCTTTTGCTTGGTGTTCAGAGCAGTACTGAGTTGTAGTGTTTGGTAAAAAATCTCTAAAAGAACTTAACACTTAATTCTTTCCTCAAAACACAATAATTTTTGTCTCTCCATTTTTTTTGCTGAGCCTTAACTGGCTATGAAGAAACTTTGGACTTTTGGATGCTCTGAGCACTGAGTCTGTGAAATGCATTCATTGATACCTAATGGTCTGAAGCAAGCTTCATACAGTATTTTTAGCTTTCTTTCAATTACAGGTTTATTGTAATCCAGCTGTCCTATGTGCTGGCCTTTATTTTCATTACTGCTGTCTTGTCATCTGAAACAGCCCTATCACAATTCAGAAGCCTTTTAAAGTGTCCCTTTATTTTCAGGTCACTCTTGTCCTGGCCCCAGCTTGCAATCCCTCGTGTGTATTTTTGGCCCAGGACAAATAATGTGAAAGTTATCAGGGTGCTCCACGTGAGTTGATCCCAGCACTCGGTGCCTGCGCGGCGGCCGTGTCCATCTGTGCGTTCCAAGGCCGAGCGCCCCTCAGAGCTGCAGGGGGCCGGCGGGGCCCTGGTGCTCCCGCGCGGCCCGACGGAGCGAGACCAAATCCGAACGCGGCTCCGGGAGGCCGGGTCGGGCCTGGCCGTGCGGGGAGGCAGCTCCTCCGCCAAGTGGCCCCATGAGCGGCGCTCGCCCCTTCGGGTCACGGACACCTCGGCAGTGCCGCCTCCTGCGGACCCTTCCCTTCCAGCAGCGTGGCTCTAAGAACTTCCCTCTTCAGCCGGAATCTGGTAACATTGCATCCAGCTGAAACTGCAGGGCGAACGTTGCACACTGGAGTGTCTGACTGACTGCCTGGAGGTCCAAACGGACCCCTGGAGCGGCCGGAGTCCCTGGCCCAGGTGCCGAGGGTGGGAAGCAGTGGTGAAGCTCCGTGCCCTTGCGGCCTCTCCGGGCCCGCACTGCTCGAGGAGCTGCTCGTGGGGCCGGTGCAGCTCTGCGAGCTCCTCCTCACAGGGTTTTCCAAAGTGCAACAAACCTGCAGGCCTGAGGGCAAGTTCTCTCCTGCTCAGTGATCCCTCTGTGCGGGTCCGCTGGCTAACAGCACTGGGGCCTCTCGGGAACCGGCTGGTCAGCGAGGGGCTGGCAAGGCCGGTGCCAGCCAGGGCCGGCCGGCCTGCCCCGAGTGCTTGGTCCCTGCATGGGAAGCACCAAGCACAGGTGAAGGGGGAAGGGGCTCTCGCTTCTCCCCTGCTCGCTGCCCCGCTCCGTGCAGCAGCGGCTGCTGCAGAGATGCTCATTTAAGCTCCATCCCCGCTCCCCAAAGGCACCTGGGCCGAGAGTGATCCCCCAGGGAGCGCGGGGAGCGAGTCCCAAGGCCTGGGTCTGCCCAGCTGCTCGGCTGAGCCCCCTTGGGCTCCCCCTTGGGCTCGGCTGAGCCCCCTTGGGGGAACATCCAGGCCCTTTAGAAACCCTGAGGCACCCTGCTAGTAATCAGACAGCAGCAAGTAATAGTTAGAAAAAATATTTGTTGCCAGGCTTGTAGGAGTAAACTGGTAAAGAGGTTAAAGTTAATCCCAAAGAGGGTGGAGTTGACTGAGTGCTGGACTGAGAGTGGTGAGATATGACCCAATTTCCTGAGATAAATCTCATTGTCTCTTGGAGCTTTGTATTTAAGCTATATATATATATATATATGTAATGTATATATGTGTAGGTGTGTATAGATATATGTATGTATATGTGCATGTACTCTCACACGTGTATTGCAAACATTCTGCTGGGGCAGCGGCTGCTCCCCACACATCCATGGGGAGCAGCCCCTGGGTCTCTCTGGCCGCTGGTGGCAGCGCAAGAGTCAGGCCCAGGGCCTGGCTCCTCCGGCCTCCCGCCCCTCGGCAGCGAGGGCAGCGGCACCCTCTGGTTTATTCACTTGTGATCCTGGCAGAGAAGTCCTTAAAGCTGTTGACCTTAGAGGAGAAGCGTTAGAGGTGGAGAGGATTACAGCAGTGGAAGCAAACACTTGTTCTTGTGAATTCTTGTGAACTATATTTAGGCTCTAAATCCAAGCATAATTAAATAGGGCTAATGAGACAGAGGGGCTTATCTTCATTTGGCATATAATTGGTGCCACTGATTTCCTCATTCATTTTTCCTGGCTTTAAAGCCGTCTTGTTCCAGTTAGGCTTGAGGATCAAAGTTACCCTGCAGAGAGAAAGTACGTGGAGGCTTAAAGGCAGCTGGAGCCTTCCAGGGGCTGTAGCGCGGCAGCTCGGGTGGACAAGGGGCAGCAAAGCCAGTGGCGTGGTGTAGCCAACACACCAGCCGTGTAGCCGCCCCCCCCCCCAAAGAGTCTTTTTATGGAGCGCTGCAGGGAGGGAAGGGTCTGGAAGAGCAGGCAGCCACTTACCGCCGGGCACCTGCAGACTTGGGTTTTGGTGGGCGACAGGCAAAGTTGCTGAGTTGCTGGCTGCGCCCTGGCACGGAGCTTTTCCACAAGGACAAAGTGTGTCAAAAAGGGAGGATGCAGGCAAGGGGAGGCGGCTCTTCCTTGCCACATTTACTAGATTCTCTAGTAGCTGCTGACATCGTCCCTATACTGTGCAACATCAGATTGCACTGCTGTAGCGTTACAGCTTTATAAGGTAGTTGAGTGCAGGGGGGGAGGGGGAAAAAAAAAAAAAAAAGGTCCTGTTAGGGACTCAGCTGAGCTGAATGACGTTTTCTTTTTGGTCGTCGTGCCTCGCAGGTTGGGCCTCAGCCCGGGCCCAGCGCCCTCCGCTCTCGCACGTTGGGCCGCAGAGTCACCCGCGCCCTCCCCGGGTCCTGCAGGCGCCATCTTGTGGCCTCGGGCGGCGCAACGGCCAGGTGGGTGTCTGACGGGAGCGATGAGAAAAACGGCTGGAAAAACGGCCTGTGCTGGTGCCGAGCGCCGCTCGGGAAGCCCCGCCGGGGCAGCACGCGCCGTGGGGTGGTTACAGAGCCGCAAGGCTCCGCAGGGCGCTGGCCTCGTGGCCGCGCTGCGCAGCCCTCCCGCAGCTCCAGCCGAGGTGCCCGTGGCTGCTGCTCATCCCCTCCTGCTCGCCAAGGAGACCCCGAGCTCTGAGCTGGCAGCCGAGTTGCTCATGGCTGAAACAACTGCTGCTCCTCGGTGACAAGCACGGCTACGAGGCCAGAATGGCGCCCTGCCCTGGCACCCTCGTCCTGCGTTTTTTAGGGGCGACGGCATAGAGACACACAGGTGTGTGAATGCGATACATCAAGTCAAGACATGAGATGCGCCTGAGAGAAACAAGGCACCAGCAAGAGTACGGTAAGGCACCACACAACTGAAAAGCAGGACTTGGGCTCCCCCCCCGCCCTCCCCCCTTTTTTTTCTGGTAGGGGCTTCCATGGTTATGTTTTAGCCTAGTTTGCGCACGCGATGCTGCACCAAGCCTCAAGTCATGCAGGTCGGCTGAGGGCTGCAGCCACCGCTTTCCTGTTCCTCCAGAGGCAGGACACATAGAGCTGCCTTAGGGCCCATTCGACGGCGCAGAACGCCACGCTAACGTTGTGTTTTCTCCCCCTAAAAGCGCACGCAGAGCAGCTGCCAGAGCCGGAGCATTTTTCACGGACAGCCCAAGGCCACCCCGGCCCTCGCGGGTGCCGCGGCCACCTCCCTCGCTGCCTGCACGGGAGGAGCTGCCTGGGCTGCTGCCCCCAGCAGTGCCGGCCACACGGCCATGGAAGGACATCAGCGAGACCCTCCCTGGTCACAGCAGGCAAGTTACTGGGAGGTTCCAGGCAAGGACAGGCCAAAAGAGGCTGTGACGGCTCTTAGCGTGTGAACACATGCCCAAAGGCAGCCCTTGCACACAGCAAAGAAGAAACAGCTTAATTCCTACTCCAAATTCTAACAGGGAAGTGTGCAATACAGAGATGTGTCAAAAACCCTTTCTAAGCACAGCAAACTCCCTACATACTGAGGGCAGCAGGACTGCAGCCTTGAAGCAGTTGAAAAAAAACTGCACCATGTGGAGTTCAGGCTCTGTCCTTGACACAGGCATTACAAGAGAGGCCTAAGATGTAGGGAGCAAGTGTGATTTAAGGGGCTGGAGGCCTGACAACCAGCTGAGCATTAGAGATGGGTCGGGACAGCAGGCGCGGGGCCGGGCTGACTTAGGCATTAACTCTCTGGGGAACTGGAGCAAGGAAAGGCGACTGCTCTTGCAAACGCTGCTCAGAGCACACGGTGGTATCAAAAGATACCCGCAGCGTCTCTGCCCATAGCACCAACATAATCTTTACCTGAACGCCCACCGGGTGCAGGGCCACGATTAGCAGGTGAGGCTAATTCTGCTTTATGAGGGAGACAGCTGCACTTCAGCAAGGGGAGGAGCAACCTGTATCTAGCCTTTCCCTCCTGAACATCAACTTAAAAAGGGGAGGAAAAATAAATTAGAAAAAGCAGGCACCATATACAGGCCTCTCCATGACCCATTGCTGCACCAGGCCTTAACTGCTGCTCCTGGCCTGTGTGAGGCTGGCACTGCTCTGCACCCAAGAAGGCTGAATTGAATACAGTTAAGTGAGAGATTAGGCACTAAAGAAATGTGCTATTTAGTCACACAAAGGGTAAAATTCCAAGAATTTATTGCTGTATGTATGCTTTATCCATTAATTTGCCTTACATTAGTCACGAAGTGCCAAAGTGTGTGCTACATTTAACATTTCCTCTGTTCTTTTCCAAATGCCATTTTACAGTGGGTGAGTGAAGCAGCACAGCAGCAGTCACAAAACATGGCTTGAGGATCTCTCAGGAGCTTAAAAAATAAAGATGGGTGTACAAGCCAAAGAAAGATGTCAGTTAACAGGTGACTCAGCATCTTTAATAGCTTTAGGTGGACGTTTTGCAAAGTTAAAATTTACAACTCAGACTGAACCTTTTCATCCCCGCTGCAGTAACAAGATACTTGTGAAGAACAAGACCCACAGGCTGTCCATGTCACACCAAGACCTGCCTCACTTCCATCAGAAGTAAAGGTGGGTAATTTTAAGCAAGTAAAGGCATAACAGACTAAAGCTGTCAGCCTGTATTAAAAACATAAACCTCCAAGTTTGGCAGTGGAATTCTATTTACCACTTCCACTTTTTGTAATTTTTTTTTTGTTAAGTACAAGTACTCTTTCTCCCCTCCCACCACGTACACTTTATAAATCCCCTTTATTTTTATTATACCTCCATATTATTTACAGGACTCCTAGAGATTAAGTACAAACTAGTATGAAATTAATGATAGTTTGCTCTTCAAATATGTATCCCATCACTAAATAAATACCAAGCCAATCCAACAACAGAGGCATCTGGAGTTATGATTCCAAAGCTTGTGTATCTGTGATCCCAGATGCTTTCTCGTTAGCTGTAGTGGATTCACTTGATCTGTCAGCAGCAGCCGGGGCAGCGCTATCCAAGGCGAGCGTGGGGGGCTGGTCCACATTTACAGCAGTGCCCGCGTCAACGGAAAAGCTTCCGGCTTGGGTGATGGTGGGAAGCAAATCTGCAGGCACCGTGGATCCCTCTGTGACCAGAGGGAGCAGAGGAACACACTTGGGTGGCATGGAAAGAGGTGTTATTCCCATCAGATTCAGAGGTGGCAAGGAAGGAAGGGAAGGCAAACCTGGAAAAGGTGAGAAAAAAAATAATTTAAAAAAAGCAGTGAGACATTGCAGGCCCCACACAGGTACAGAGGGATTCCATGTTTATTTTTTCCCTCTAATCTCCTATTTACTGGGGAGGAAAGTGCCTTTTAAACTCAGGGTAAGCACAATATACCTGCTGATGCAGCAGGAGAGTGTCCAAGCCTGATACGTTTTTGGATTTCAGAACTGAACAAGCTGAATAAAGTCAAGTCTGCCTCCTTGTATGTACATGCTCCCCTCTCCAGAGGGCTGTCTAACATGTTGACTAATTATTTTTGGCATTCATTTAAATTGCCAGAGACAAGAAGTTAACAAGAATTTTATTCCACGTAAGCTTCCAATTTTATTTTTTGCTTGCTCCATGTGCATCTTCAGCAGTTTTGTTTTATTCACTACCACAAATCCAGTATTAGTTGGTACTTTTGGCATTCAATTAGGGTGCTTCGACCTCCTTTGCTAGCAAACACCTCATTTTCTTCTCCCCATAAAATTATATACTTTCATTTTTAGCACTGGACAATCTCTTAGATCATAACTCAGGTAACATAAGGTGAACCAACTAAACCCAGGCATAGGCTTAGCATTAGATCATCCTGAAAAATATTCCTTGTCTAACCAGGCTGGACACTACTGCCAACTTGGGTTTATCCTGCTTGGGAGCCCCAGAGGCAGCACCACGTCGGGGCCAGGGATCAGCCCGGGGCGGCCCCTACCAGGCTGGATGATTTCCGGCAGTTCTGCCCCGGGAACGATGTGCGGGGCAGGTAAGTTGAGCTTGGACAGGTCAGGCAGGTTGGGAAGCCCGGCTGGCAACGGCATCAGACCTTAGAGGGGAACAGAAACGGTACAAATGAAGGACTTGTCAAACTTGCTGTTTCAAATGCTTGAGATGTTATTGACTATTTGGAGTTTACAGATGAAAATGCAAATTAATCTGAGGCTGAAGATTCAAGTTAGTTACACAAGGAAAACAGTTGCCTACTGATGGAAGTCAGGGTTGGAAAATACCTAATCCCAAACTTTTATATTCCTCTGAGGAAAGTGAAATTGTGCTTCAAAAAATGAAGTTTGGAATTCAAAGCTTGGCTTTTACCAGAGGTGGCTACTGCACTGTAGCGCTGTGCCAGCAGCCTCCTGCTCTGAACAGCGACAGAGCTTAACAGGATAAAACAGGTAGGAAGAAAGACACATTAAAGAGAAAAGACTAATAGTAGTATTTCTGATACTACATTTATAAAAATATATGAAAAAGACAAGACTTAATATTTATATATAAATATATTATTATATATTAATATAAATATATGAAAAGACAAGTAACTTTCCTCATTAGGAAAAACTGAATATGCAACAAAAACACAGAACAATAACAACACACTCCTATCAATGTGGAACATTTTTTCTCCCCTGCTTTGCTCATCTTAGGAGAGCTACATTTCTGGGACAGTGGCTTTCTTCTTGCTTTGTGTTTAGTTCAGGGAAAACTACTTCTGAAGTAAGTCAATGAGCAATAAGAGGGAGACAAAGTCTTACACTTGAATACAAAAGAAGTCTTTTACTTAACCTGTGAATTAGCCAAAAATCTACTCGTCCATTCTCAAAGTTGTAAAGGTTGTACAAAGATTTTGAGCATGAAATGCCTAAGATGTTATTAAAGTTATTAAAAAAAAGCAAAAGAAGAGGCATCCATTTCTCTCTGAAGTCTTTTGGTTTTGTCTTGTTTTAGAGGAGTTTTAAGAATTTTGACCTACTCACCTGGTAATGTCGTTGCTGGGTTGACTGGTGGCACAGAAGCAAGGGATGGGCTGACCTGAGGTGGTAGTAATGGAACTGTTGGAACCCCTGGGGGAGCAGGGAGAAAAAAACCACCGTTCATTTCATACCTGTAGCACTTCAGTTCCCTTCCTCAAGGGAGGGGAAATAAATAAATACTAGCTTACAGGAGAATTAATATTTGTCTTAAGCAATTAACTGTAAAATGATGATGAAGAGGAGGAGTAGCTGCTTGGAATTATTCTGTGTGCAAGCAGGGCACACCACTGTACTCTAAATCTTAGTCTTTGGGAAAAGTTCTGGGAAGAAGTTTACTTTACAACCACCACTTCCTATTCAGTTGACAGGAACATTTATGAATTCAGAAGGGCCAAAAGGCGCACGCGCTTCCCAAGTGACTGCCTTCCATACTGACCTGTACTGAGCCCGGGACTGACGGTAGTGGAGGGTGAACTAATGGACAGCCCCGAAAGACTCTGTTCAAGTCCTGCTGAACCAGGGGGTAACGTGGGTGAGGGATTAACTGATGACAGCTGGACCTTAATTAAGGGTCAAAAAATAAATTACACCATTAGGGATTTTGCTCCCACTGAACCAATAAACACAGAACAACCACAAACAGCCCACTGCACCAAGGCAAAGACCAGGCTACAGGGTACCTCTGTGAAGCCGTCCTTGAGGGGAGTGAGCGTCGCACTAGGCAGCTGTCCTGGGAGAGAAATTTTCTTTCCTTCTTCAAAGGGCCGTGTAGGTATCCTATGTAAATAGCCATAGCCAATGCCACAGCCTAGGCTTTAAAATACAAACATTTAGAAGTCAGTGAAACTACTTAATTAGTGTGGATTTCACAGCAAGCAATGCATAAATGACTTGAGATATTCTGTTTAACTGCACTGTGCAGAAAAAGATAAATATTGCTTCATTTTCTATAAATAAATAACAGTAGATAACTGGAAGGAAATTCTGTAGCTGTTAGCAGTTATCATGTAGCAAAACCAAACCAAACTCTGTGTTATTTGGGCCTAGCAGCTAGGCTCAGGATCAGCCTGGCCTGTAATTTGCAGTCCTGTCTTCCAGCTACTGTGCTGTACTTTCAGGATACATCCCAGGAAAAGCTGCCTAAAGGCCAATGCACACTGTGCATTTTTTGAACTAGTTTAGTTACTTAAGAAACATCCCCAAACACCTCCACTCCATAAGTAACTGCATCTGAATTCCAAGTACCTACTTTGCCATTTAACTACCTTTTTCTGTCTTTATAGAGAACTTAACCAGCAGCTTTTCAGCTAGTACTGGAAGCAGGCACCTTTTCCCCTCCCTAGATAATGCATCGTTTCCTTACCTGCCTTCTCCACCCCAGGCTGAGTTGGGAGTAATCACCACTTCTCGACAGTTATCTGTGTCTGTGTTGTACACATACAGTTTTAATGGCTTCGCTTCATGTGTTTCAATAAGGGAGAAGAGATCTTCAGACTGCAAGAAGACAACAGCGCGTGAGGGCCTTTCCCTGCTCCCGGGGACGTGTTCCTGGCACTAGCTGCCCGCGCCGGCGGCAGGGAACTGCTCGGTGCCTGTTGCAGGGCTGCCGCCTTACCGTAAGGACAACTTTAACACTGCGTTCTGCTAACAACTCGGGAGACACATGGCACAACCCACATGTCTTATTTGAAATTTTAATATTAAGTACAAAAATAAGAGTTCCTATCTGATTACATCAAGATATTTAAGGATTTTAATTCCAGAACTTCATTTAAGCTCAATGAAAGGGCACCAAGCCCAAGCTCCTTCCTTTCTGCACTAAGTTGCTTTCATTAGCCCCAAACAGAAGCAGAATTTGGAATCTTTCCAGCTGCCCAGGTACTGCTTTTTAGTTTAACTATTTCAAAAATCTTACTTAAATTACCTCATTCATGACAGTATCTGCTCCAATGATATAGTCACTGTGAGGTCTAAGTCCAGCTAACGCAGCAGGAGAGTTTGGTTCCACCTCCTAGTTGGAAGAGAGCAAGTCACCGGCGTTACACGACTGGCTGGGTAAGCGAGCAGCCGCACACACCTCTCAGGCCTCGACTCACACGTACTAGTTTCATTAAAAACCTGACCAGTTTGTATGACAGTCACTGAGATAGTGAAATGGTGGCTAAAGGACAGTCTCTTTAGCTACTGTTGCAGGAATTCTGAATATGGTGCAACACCAGCAATTTTAAAGATTTGAAAACATACTCACAGGCCTACAGCTCTATTTTAAAATTCTTTCTGAAAACAAAGTCAGAATACAGACCAATTTGACCTCAAATTACTCTTCCACAAAAAACACTGTGAGAGTAAAGCAACACATCGTGCTCCAAGAAAATCATCTGGAAGTCGGTACGTACCAAGACGTGCCAGACGTTCTCGTTGGCCCCGTCAAAGCTGCAGAAGCGAATGCTCACGCCCAGCAGGCCCTGCCCGCCCCACATGTTGCTGGGGGTCACTGACGTTTCTCTCAGCTCCAGGGTTTTGCTGCTGTACACCAGCATCTTTACAGGTTTTTCGACATTCGCTTTCAGCAGGTCCTTGAGTGTGTCATTGTCTTTATTCTGCAAGTATTCCAACAAAAGCTCAGTTTAGTGCTTAAACAGTAAACACACAGTTTCAGAGCACCACTCTTGTGTTTCAGAGCTCCCATAAACATTGTGCATTACCAGAATACACACGCACAGTTATTACACAGTAAGCTTCAGGTCCCTTAGCAATTCTGTGATACAACTAGAGTGCTCTGAATTTCACAGCAACAAGTCTTCCTTCCCAAATATAAAAATGCAAATAACCTGTGACACGATGTACAGGAACCTGACATTAAACATAGAGGTATTTGCCATTCATAAACTGAGTACCTACAACAAAGTTCACATCCACAGCAGTAAACATTCCTTATAGCCAAGTAGTTAATGGCAGGGTTAATGTACTGACACACAAACTCACCAGAGAAACTTGGTTTTTGGTACTTAGAACACAGACTAACAGTACCACACAGAACTACAAAATGAGCAGCCAACAGTGAGGACAGGCGCAGCGGAGTCCAGGGAGCGGCCAGCGGAGCGGAGTACAGAGAAGCGGAGCATGGGATGGGGACGGGGCCTCCTCCCCAGGCGGAGGCGGCACCGGGGCCCCCGCTCCGTGCGCTGCCCAGACGCGTCTGCTCTGGGCTGCCTTTCACCAGAGCGCTGCACTCACACACGTTGCCCTGATTTAGCTCAACAATTCTAACGCAGCGGTGCCTTGTGTCATTTAGGCATCCACCTGTTCCAAAGGTAATCCAAATCCTTAAGTAATTATTATTAAAATGCAAGCAAACTGATTTGGAAGAGCAGCTTTAAAAATATTTCTTGTATAGTAACAAAGTACAGAAAGAGGGCTTCAGTCAAACCCCAGCACCTCCAGCTCAAGAGGACAAAAGATGAGCTAGACTACAGTACATTTCTTGCGGGCCATAATATGCTGACAATTACTTTCAAAATATATCTCTCAAAATGAGTTGCTGATGCTATTGACTTTAAGTGCTTGTACCTTGCTGGAGACACAAAAAGAAAGGACTCTCACCACAAACACAGCGCTCATATACTCTCCAATGCTTGCAAGTCTGCGTTCAAAGCCTGGGTAAATATTAACTCACCATCACATATTACAAACACTGGGCAACAAGATAAATACTTTTAACTGAAACCTTCCTTTCAGAAGCTTCATCTCCTGCAGCAATAGCAGCAGGTCATAAACAGCAGGAGAAGAAACGGAGGTTTGAGGTTTCCAGGCTAATCTGACTTACAGTGACAAACTCTCTGCTTTGTCTTGAGTCAAAATTCCAGACCTGCAAGAACTGAGCCAGATAAAATACTTCTCTGTACCTGGCTCTCTCTTGGGCAGGGCAGAAGAAACTATGAACAAGCTAAGGGGAGTGCAACTGGCTCTTGTTCTTCCACTTGACCAACCCCAGCGCCAAATGGTCTTTCCAAGTGACTGTGGGGCCTACTCCATATGCCTCCAAAGGCCCAAACCTCGGGGACAGCGGGTGTCTCCTCAGTGGAGCCAAGCCCAGACCAGCAGAGCCTCAGCTCCTCACGCTCCCAAGAGCTCCGCCAGGTTTCCAGCTCTCTCTGCTCCTTCCAGGCAGCCGGTGTCAACTGAAACAAGCACAGGAGCATCCGCACAGCCCTGCGGACACAGCCAAGGGGAAGCAGCACAGGCAGCCGGAGGAGGATCAGCAGGCAGGATCTGTTACACAGAGCATGGCTCTGCATCCTTATTCTTCACCTTGAGTTTTGACAGAAGTGTAACTATGGGGTGTAAGAAATGGGTTTCTGATGCAGTTTGGCTTTTCTGGTTTAGACCAAGGATAAATATTTTATTTACATTTTAATAAAATAAATGCACTAGTTTATCTTTAGAATAGTTTCTCAACACATTGCTTATATGCAGTCAGCACTAAAAGAGCACCCCGCTTACCAATCTGGAACCGTTGATAGAGACGATAAAATCAAAGAAGGGCTCCAACCCCGCTCTGTGTCCTGGCGAGTTCTCTTGTACCTATCAGAAAGTTAAACAAGGGTTTAGTAAAGGTGACCAGTGCCAATTTTTACATTAGAAGTACATTCCTGCCTCGGCAAAACTGTAGTTCTAGAAGCTCCTGTTGTTGTAGATGTGATTTCTAACATTGAAGGTAATACTGTGGACTGAATCCTCTCCCTTAAAACAGGCTGTGAGGGTGTAAGATACTAAATGAATGGTAGTGCTTTAAAAAAAAAGGTGAGTAATGAAATAACAGTTGCTTCTCACTGGGACAAGCACTGCTTCAACGGCTGCAACAGATAACAAATACATATCTACGCTTTAAGGAGATTATAGTAAAACCACAAGCTTAATGAATTCTGAAAAAGCTGGTCAAAAAGCAAAATCTTTCCATAACGGTGCCAACACCGGACCTTGCTTTTTGCCTTCCTCTTATCAGAGGACACAGTCACATCTCTGTAAGCGCTCGCTGTCACCTCACCTCCTGCTGAGGCTGAGAACAGGCGGGCCCTGTACAGGCTCCGACTCGTCACCACTCCAGAAGCTGCAGGACCAGCCCCATGCAGCTCTGCAGCCAAAGCCACTCAAAGAGCCCAACCACTCCACTAGGACAGGGCCTAAGCACTGGATATTCGCTGCCCCTAGAAGCTTTGAGTCTGCTCTTAATTCCAGAGGAACTCGGAGCTATTTTGCCAGTATTGGTTTTTTTGCTATTCTATGTATTGCCAACAGTAACCCCAATGTAAGTTCAATCAGTCTTTCCCAACAGCCTCAAGGGTAAAGGGCAGAGCTTCCCTTACTTTTCAGATGTTACTGAAAACATTTCCTTTACCCACTTGCCCACTGCCTTTTTCTTTTTCATGTTATATTCACCTTCCAAAAGGTCTACAATTTAATCCTTTACATTGTGGACTATTTTAGTCTGCCATAACTGATACAAAACAGGTATTTTGTGCAATGTCCATCCAATTCTGCAGAAATTGACTTTTCTTGATACGACTTATCTAGAACAAAATATTCTAACATGCAGAATAGTAGCCCTGACGACTACAAAACCTTCCTCTCAATCTGTTTATCTGCTTAACATATTCACAACATCAGAACCTAGGAAAAAACCCAGATTATGTGAGGGTAGTTCTCTGTAAGGAATGCCAGAAGTCTCAAATACCAGTGTCACATATTCCAAACATTCCCTAGAGGATAACCTGGAATCAGTAATTCTGGAGTCACATGCACTGACTGGCAGCAAAGTTTTGTAGAGAAGCAAGAAGCTCCGACATGAACATTGGCCCAGTCAATAGTCAGCAGTGTAGACAACAATAAGAGCACAGAAGCTCCCATTTGTCCCTTCTAACAAGAACCTGAGGCATGTCTATAGAAGTTGTCTCTAAGCTGTTTTCCTGTTCTGTGGAAATATTTTTCTGTAGCAATAATGATATAAATATTCTCCCCCTATATTAAGCATTAACTGCTCTCAGCCTACCCAGAGCTCTCAGTCACTCGAAGCAACCTGCAGCCCAGCTGACCAACCCCAAAGTAACTGCCTCCATGCTGCCAGCGCAACACGCTGGCACAGCACACCCCTAGCCAAGAGGGCCCGCGGGGGCAGTAACAGGGAGAGGATGAAGTGGGGCTCGTGCCGCCCCCAACCCCAGCTGGGTGCGAACACGGCACGCGGCTGTACCCAGGGTCATGCAGCACCACATACCCAAGCACCAACAGTGCAGAGCTGCACCCAGAGCAGAGTCTGTGGGCAGAAGCTTTAGCTTATGAAGAGAGTCAAAGAGCCCAACAGTTACCAGATGGATAACTTTAGCCAAATGTAGACAGTACTTGCTTGCCACCTATGTTAGGCTTTCTTTCCATTAAATAAGTGGTTTTACCAGAGCAGAATTAAGGAACTCCATTTTCCTGTGGTCGTGCTCCCTAACTGCTTCCTCTGGCTGGCATGTCCTCAGAGGGGGCTTCTCCAGGACCTGGCAGAGGGGGAGCTCGAGCTCTTTGCTGCTTTCCCTCCATTCAGGAAGGTAACGTGAAAATACCTACGAGTCTCTCCCATAACAACCACCACTGCCACAAAGGGGGAACTTTGTGTTTTTAACGAACATGGCAAACACTTTACACCTAAGTGAAGCTGCCAAGCAGTTTCTGAAGTTATTACAATAATTATAAACACAAAACACTTCCTGGCAAACCTTACTGCATCAAGAATGAGCAGAACTGATACATTTATTCAGATACCATAACAGATTGCTAAACATGGATATTCCTCATGGCCTTGAAACTATGAAAGGACAGACTTGAGCTGCAGAAGCATCTATGAGTATCCATTGATCCTCCTCTGGTTCCAAGTGAACCACTTCCAAAATAACCCTCCATTCCTCACACAGGAGATCGCACCCTGAACACCAGGAGCCGACAGTGACCCGTGTCAGTAAGGCAGCCTTCTAAAGCTAACAAGAGCACTTATGATATGAGTTACATATGCTCAGCATCCCTCACCATCACACCCACCGACTCCAGACATGCACAGACCTGGTGCTCTACATACAATTCTCACAGTGTGTCCAAAAGCACTGAAGTGATTGTAAGAGCTTCCAAGTTCTAAGCAATTTGTTGGAAGAAGTTTCTTGCACACTGAATGCCCTCCCCAAAGCACAGACACGTGCACACCTGCCCCACGCTACCCACCTGCAGGCAGGCAGGCAAGTGAGCTGCACCTGAGAATAATGAAGCCCAGGGGTGCATGAATGTGTAAGACTTTTGCCAATATAAGCACAGAGCTGCAAGCTTGTTGTTGCTACAGTTCCTCATGCTGGGGTGCACAGGTTTGGTCACAAAAAGTTTCATGGTTCCCTAGTTTGCCTAGGCCCAGCTTCACCAATAAAGAAAAGGGTTTGTGCTTGCCAGCTCCAGAAGTGGCAAGTCCATTCAGGCAAGTCCATTCAGTATGGAATGTCTCCTCCTCACAGGAATGATGTGCTCGCCCTGCACGCTAACGACACCAACACCTCGCAGCTCTTGTGATGCCATCCCGCCTCCAGCCAGCTAACTGCACAGCTCTGTCTCCGTGCAGGGCCAAACACAATGCAGCTCTCCCAGGAGCATGGCAATAAAGGAAAACTGGGAAGCTTTGGAAACACAAGGGCAAGGACACAAAATCCTTGTTATTAATGACCGAAATAAAACTCCTAATTATCCATATATAATTTCTAGGTGTTGCAAGCAATCTGTCTTTGTGCAGCTTTTCCTTATTTCCCACCAAAAAAAGTGGTCTGTAGCTTGCCTTTGTAATCGAGTAAGGGTTGAGCAACAACCACGTAACCCAACCGCTCACTCGCGGTGAGGATAAGCGTGGCCATCCTGCTTAGGCAAGGGCCAGACACGGCACCGGGGCCACGGGCCGCCGGTGCCTAAATGCACCCGTGCTCTGGCTCCGGTGGCACGAACGCTGCAGGGGGACAGGCCGACCGGCCCTAGCAGAGTGGCCGCTGCCCACGCAGGCCCTGCCCAGCGGCCGGGCACAGGCTGTAGCTGGGGCTTCCAAGGGGCAGCTCGCAGGACCCCTCACCGCACACACGAACCTCTGGCTTGCTGCCAAACGCAGCTGCTCCGCTGTGAAACACTGCCACACTGCTACCCTGAAGAGGGTAGACAGACTTTCCAGAATAAGGTTTGGGGAAATCTCCAGTTTTGAGCATGATGCACTAAGGTAAAACAAACACGCACACACACAAAACAGAATCAGAGAGTGTATTTTAATACAGTGGGCTCAAAACTGCAGCGGTTCAGAAGAACCTTTGCAAACTAAAATTTCTGTTTGAGATGCCAGGCAGAGGGCCAGAACAGAACAACGGCATCAGCTCTCTGGTCTCGTCTGCTATCATAACTATATTGCTTCCTTAAGAACCTTTCTAACCACCGAGAAACTGCAAATCAAGCAGCTCCTGTCTTCAGAATTCCTGATGCAAAATGTTTCAAGTCCATTAATTTCAATTGTTCTTCTGAGATGAACAATAAGGCATCTGTATCTTTAAAGACATAGTCTTTGGCTAAATATTTTATAAACCCATGAATCACAGTGCCACCACTACCTTAACTAGCTATCAGCATACAATCTAAGTATCGAATAAAACTGCATTTTTATTTAAACATCCTCTTGCAAATTATTTACTCATTGTTAATGGGCATTTACTGAACTTGCAATTACCATCTTTGGGGACAATACAGACAAGTTCTACATACCATGACTCACATTTTTCTCTACAGTTTGCCAAGGCAGAGTTACCAAGCTCACCCAGACGCACCACAAGCAGGTGAACTCCTGCCTACACTGGTACTTACTCAAGGCCCATCCCTCATCCTAGCCAGGATGCACAAGCCCCAAGAATACTGAGCCTCCCAGCTCTGCCCTTTGTATACAGAAAAACACCCCACCCTCCGTATTTGCCCTCACATTACTAGCTAGCATCTCTGTACCACATTAATTCACCATCAACTTTGCTGGCAATGCCCAGTACACAATAACTGGGTGAAGTGTACAGCTAGTCTAAAACACGTCAAACATTTCAGTATTCTGAATGCCATGTTCATACAGCAGTAACCTCACTTGTTTATCACTTACTCTCTGCAGAGATCACAGATCCCCCTGACCCCTGAAAAGCGGTCGATTCTAACCAGGTGACACCTACTCATCACGAACTTGTTTCTTAAGGTGCATAAGAGGAATCTCTTGTATTCAGAAACTACCCGACTGCGGGGTCGCAATCCGTCAGGGAACAGCACAGCGCGTTTGGGTGTTCGACCTTCCTTAGCAGCCGCGCTGGAGGGGCGCCCCTCCTCTCCGCGGCCCGGCCTCGGCGGCGCGCACAGGCCCGGGCCCAGCAGAGGCAGCGGGCCCCCGGCGCCCGTTGGGGCCCCCGGCGCCCGTTGGGGCCCCCGGCGCCCGTTGGGGCCCGGCGCCCGTTGGGGCCTCGGCGCCCGTTGGGCCCGGCGGCCGCCTGGCCCGCCGCG